GTGATATATGACAGGTTGGGTGGGACGCAGGAGAAAGGTCTGGGCTGACCCTAAATACTCTTAGCCAAGAACCGAACAAAGGCTATGATTTGTAGTAGTTAATAATGTTAATTAGAGGCACAAGAATAGCTGATGGTCAGTAGTACTGAAGGGAGAAGAATCTAGTACTTGCTTCTGGGATGGAGAACACAAAATTTTTCTTCCTGGGTTGGAAACTGTATTTTCTTCAGAACCTGCAGCCCTGGGAGAGCTGGTTCTGGCGCGTTTACTTCTTACCTGATCTCATCAGGGTGCAAAATACATGTACATCTAAAAGAACAGGAATTTCTTGTCTAAGTGTAATGAGGGGGGTGAAAATCTGTTTATTTCCCAGTAAAATTTATTACAAGGTGATTTGAACAGGCAGAGAAGTAGAAAACATTCTAACTTCTTAAACTGGAGTGTTGTTAAGCAGTTGTTATTAATTTTTTTTCACTACAGAAGGGATTTTATTTCCCCATGGACAAAAAAAAATAAATACCTCAACTGTTTCTACTTCTCCCTTCTGTTCAGTGAAGTAGGGAAGCAGGAGGAGGTGTGTGACAGACAGTCGTGTGTTACTGTACAAGACTATACTGCCATCGAGAGGTGCTGGCTGATACCAAACAAAGCGCAGAGTTGAAGAACTGCAAAAATTTAAATAAATGGATTGTTTTTAAAAATTGACAGGTGTGGGGATGCGTAGCTAGCTGTCCGTGTGGTAAAGCACATGGAACATTTCATAGGCGTGCAGGTTTCCATGTGCATATGAGGAGTTCGTGGATGATGGAGGTATTTCCCTTTCCTTTTCTTGCTTTACATCAAACAAGACCAGAAGTGCTTGTGATTAGGTCAAATGTTAAATTCTTTCAGAATATTATAGGCCCTTTGTGGGCCCTTACAGGTATTTCTCTGTGCGGTACCTCTAGGTATCTACTCCTGTAAGTCAAAATTGCAGTTTTTATTTTAATCACATGATAATTACATAAAAGTAATAAGTTTGCTTTTACAGTCAGATTGTTTCTTTCTTTACAAAATGATTGGAAGAGGTGATGAGGAATTAAAAATTGAGATTATTCAGGTTTGTATCTTCAGTATGGAAAAAACCTGGTGTTAGAGGAACTGCAGATGATAAAGTTGATCCCAGAATGAGTTTTGTGGCACTTAGTGGAGAAATCATTCAGCTCGAGCTTCATCTGTGTTGACTCTGGCCACAAAATTGTTTCCAAATTCTGACCTTTGGGACCATATTTTAAAATGAGATACACTTTCAACTGCAAAAGTTGAACAAGAAACAAGAAGGTATGTTCTTCAGCTTCTGGCCAAACAGCATGAATGAGTGGGGTGACACCATGTGCTGATGGTGTTTTGTCTGGTTTTCCCACAACAATTTATACCAGCACCTTGAAGAGACTGGGGGGAAAAAAAAAATAGATTAATGAGATTTCTTTCCTTGTGTTCACTGTGCAAAAACTCAGGAAGAGGACAGGAGCCCTGCTATTGGGATTTGGGCTGCTGGTTTGGAGATGGGGATGTCTGGAGACTCTCAGAAGTTGTGTGTTTGAGTGAAGGGAGACACACACCGGGCGTACAATTAACCTCTTTACCCCAAATCCCCTTGGTGTGAAACTGAAGTCGTTGCACTTTCCTCACAGGAGCACTGGGAGGAAATAGCCATTCATATTTGTGAGACATTTGCATGCTGTGATGGTGAGTAACACAAAGGGAGCTACCGGCACTAGACAAGCAAGAAGTGGTTTCATGAGAGAGTGTAGTAGCCATCTGCAGTTGGTTTTGAGAGTGAGGAGCTTCAATTCCTAGTGGAGATGGTTAAATAACGGGGAGAACAGCTCCCACCAGGCGACCCTACTCCTTACCCCTAGAATTGCCTCTGTCCAGGCTGAAAAACCAGCCTTCCTCCCCATCGCAGAGCTGAAAAACCAGCCTTCCTCCCCATCGCAGGGCGGGCAGGTGGTAGGAACCGTCCTCCCGAGACCCTCTGGTGGGTGTTGTCTGGCTCCTCGAGTTCCATTATTCACCCCCTGAGTGGTGGTGAGCATCTTTGAGGAGTTAGGAGGGTGACAAAGGTTGTTGAGGAAGCTCTGGGCAGTTCTGTGGAAATTTTGTTGGAAATTTCCAAGGTCTTTCTTCAGGCCTCTGTTCTGGGCACCAAAACTAAGTCTTTTTAGCAATGCCCCATGCGTGCAGGTCTAGGTGTTTAAAAGTTTGAATGCGGTGACCTTGATTGGAGGAGGTGGGTAAATAATAGAATTGCCCTTTTTCAAACAGCAGAGATAGTCTTGTGTGATCTCCCTAGAGCCACAAACATCCATCCATCTCGACACAGCCAGGTGGGATATGCAAACAGACATTTATATAGATGTGACCACCTGAAGTACTTCCTGTTTGCTTGAATGCAGAAATTATTTGCCTTTGTTATCCTTTAAAATCACTTACAAGTTTCTATTTCTCTAAATATGGCATTCGCTTACAAACATTTTTTCTCCATTTTTAAACCACTCAGTTTTTTGGTGCATTAATAATCCTAAATTAAACTTAATTTTGTTGTCATCTTTTAAATTTTGATAGGGTTTTCCTGTAGCGAAAATTAAAAGAGCCCTTCCCATGGAGTCACGGCACAATGAGCCGCATCAATGTCCCACGGAGGGAGAGGAGTTTCTTTGTGCCAACACGGATCAGTTGGTGTGAGTTTTTAAGTAGTAGTTTTTAGAGGAGGGCTGTGGTTTAGCAAACTTGCAAATAAACATTATCACCTGCAATTGGGATTTTATCCTTTTAAGAAGAAAATAGGTGTGATGGCGTGTGGGAATGCTTAATACTTGTAATATGTAGACCAAAAATGTTTATTATATAGGAATTTGTAATTCACCATAAGGACCTTTCCAGGATTTTTAAAATTTTATTTTATTTTCAGATTTTGCAAGATGAGGAGAGGAGTAAAAGAAACTGTCTCAATTTCCAGATTTGAATGCTCACTTACCCAATGTGTTTCAGTTTAAGCGCAAAACTGAAGTCAGGTTATGTGCCAAATAATTTATCAGTCTAATTTCTGATGGCAACAAGAATAGCAGTTTTATATGTACCAGGATTCTGGTTTGGTAAAAGCAGTTAAATTAAATTATGCCAATTTGAAAGTCAAAACCAGTTGAGTTACACAAGAGCATGCTTTTTCTGGTCAAAATAGGAAACATTTGGGATATTTTGGGGGTTATGTAAAGACTTTAATTTGTAACCACACTGTGTATGCTCAGTCAAAGTGGTAGACAAGAATAGTTGTTCGTGCGATTTGCCATTTCTTCAGCACATTATTTAAACCATATTACCAGGCATATTTTTTATTTTGAATGATAGTTAATCTGAGCTCTGATTAATTCTTTTAACGTTTGGGTAATTTGAAAAAGATGTGCACGTACCGTGTACACACTAGACATGGCTGGATGCGAGCGCTTTCCAATGAAGCTTATTTCATTTTAGTCATTACCTTCTAGAAAAAAAATAGTTACTGTTTAATCACGGGGAGGGCAAGGGTTGCCCTTTGCATGGTTTGTGTGATTTCAAAACCTGGAGAAGGGCATGGCTGTTGGGCCACATAATTAAGAAATTAAAAGAAGTTCAAGTGACACTCTTTAATTTGGGCCAGGCAGAGTTTGAACGAGTATTTCTTTTAATACATTGAGGTAACGTTCACGTTACCTTTTTTTCCTTGTTTCAAATTTTTAACTGGGGGTCTGTCAGTGGAACAGAAAGGTTGTGCCCTACAGTGGAGCTGTGAATGAGGTGAACTTCACTAGTAGTAAACTAGAAGGGAGTCTCAAATGCTTGCCACTGTTTTAAATCTCACTTTCAAAATCAGTTGAGCGGTATCTTTCCAACAAATGGACACTGCCTGGTTAAAAGCATCTACCAGTTCTTAGTTAATGGAATCCTGAGGTCTGCAGACCTTCTTTATCACTTGGTGCACAAATAACGATGTGGAGCACAGGTTCTTGAATCAAACAGCATTTAATGATGCTGAGACTGGTAGTTTGGTGGGGTTTTAAAAAGATATTTGCAGTTCTGCTCTTTGGAATCCATGTCTTCATAGAATCATAGAACAGTTAGAGTTGGAAGGGACCTTAAAGCCCATCCAGTGCCACCCCCTGCCCTGGGCAGGGACACCTCCCACCACACCAGGTTGCTCCAAGCCCCCTCCAACCTGGCCTTGAACCCCTCCACGGATGGGGCAGCCACAGCTTCTCTGGGCAACCTGGGCCAGGTTCTCACCACCCTCACACCAAAGAACTTCTTCCCCACATCTCAGCTCCATCTCCCCTCTTTCAGGGTCAAACCCTTCCCCCTCATCCTATGGCTGCCCTCCCTGATCCAGAGTCCTTCCCCATCTCTCCTGGAGCCCCTTGAGGGGCTGGAAGGGGCTCTAAGGTCTCCCCGGAGCCTTCTCTTCTCCAGGCTGAACCCCCCCAACTCTCTCAGCCGGTCCTCATAGGAGAGATGCTCCAGCCCTTGGATCATCTTTGCTTTATGAACTTATGCCAAAATTGAAAAAAGCTTCTATCAGTCTTCTACTCTTCAAGAGTCTGTTTTCACTCTCTAAGTCCTGGCCTTCACATCTCAGGTACTAATTTTTCCTTTCATTTCATTACCTGTTTGATAGTGCTCTTGGCTTGTCAGCAGTGTGTAAATTGGTGTTGGTGAGTGCATTCTTGTGGCAAGAATGGAGCAAGTGTCCCTTTGGTGTCCCTCTGATGTCCCTCTGATGTCCTGCAGGGCCTGACCCATGTCCTCCCTGCTTTTCCTGACTGCTCTTCTGGTGACCTGCAGTTGATTAACTAATGCTAAAACTTGTCTGCTAATAGCTTATAACCAACGGCAGCGAGTTAAAAATGCCTTCTCTTGGATGTGTCAGGACACACGCTGCAAATACTGTACCCTGTTAATGTGCTGCCTCCCACTTTTAATTCCAGGCTGGAGGTTCTCAAGTGATCTTTACCAATCCACTGGAAATCGTGAAGATTCGGTTACAGGTGGCTGGAGAAATTACCACTGGTCCACGAGTGAGTGCCCTCACTGTGTTACGGGATTTAGGCTTCTTTGGTCTCTACAAGGTATGTTGTGGGTTTTTTTATATATATATATATATATATACACTTGAATTAAAAGCCAATGATGAATGTTTCAAACCAAAAGATCATTTCATTGTTCTCACAAGCTTTCATATGTGGACACAGTTGTATTTTTTTTTTAAAAAATCTTCCTTGTTATGTGATATTATGTCTTCATTTTTCATTTTTAATTAAGGGAAGAAACTGTCTTGTGTTTTTAAGCGTGTGGATTTTACTAAGATTTCTCCCTTCAGCTGGTGTAAGTGTTGTTTGTTGAGGGTTAGTTTGTGATTCTTGATGTTCTACCTAGTGTAAAAATAATATTATTCTCATCTACGTCATGATATAGATTTTAAAGTTTTGGAGCTGGGCTTTTGCTGTTCTTTGTTGGATTCAGCAGCTTCCCCAGATGTCATCGTTAATCTGGTGATGGGAATCAATCGCAGCGCAGTAAGAGTGAAGAAATACACACAGTGGGAGCCTGACAGAAAAATAAACTGCTAAAGCAAGCGTCCCCTTGTAGTTTAGAAGAACATCACCATAAATAATATGAGGAAAAGTTGCTTTTATGGGTCTATACTGCAAAATCTACAATTCTGCTTTCTACGTTGCTTTCCTCATGTAGATGTGTAAATTTATAGAAATAAAGTTAGGTTTAGTGTTAGGATTAGAGACATCTCCTGTTGAATCCAATGGTCTCCATGCCACAAATAATGTAAAGGATTTAACATACCAACATCTGCTTTGAGATGAAGGGGACTAGATATGGAGGGGTCTGAGAAAGCCATTACACAGGGTATCAGAAAAAAACCTGCAGAGAATGGCATATACTGCAGGTTCTGGAGCCAGCTTCTGGGGAGAAGGCTCTCCTGCCACCCCTTTGTCCCCATATTTCTGTGCAACAGGCAGAATTCCTCTGATTCTCATTTCCAGCAGCACAACTGGAAATTGAAGATGCTTCAAAACCCCCCAAATGAGACCCATCCCCCTCCTCCACGGTATTTAAATTCCATCTCCATTTTTTAAGAACCCAATCCTTTTAAATTGTCCTTTTACCATTCCAAAGAGGAAGCCTGTCCTGCCCGGGAGTAGATGTATGTGTGTTTTGGCCTGGAGAGAAGTTGCTGCTCTGAATGGGATTTAGTGGGGAGTTGTTTTTGCCTTTAAATTGACTTGCTAATTTTTTAGGTGTTTTACTGAAGGGGAGGCTGTTGTGTGAACTCCTGGTAAATGGCATTATGGTGTTGATCGGGTCAACATTTACAACTGAAAAGGGGGTTTTGGTAAACAGCCTGCACCCCCGGGGCTGTGCGGGGATGGAGGGGATGGAGGGCAGCCACCGGCTTTTACTCGGACCAGTAAAAATAAAACATGGAATTAGAAAGAGCAATGAACTAGTTTTTAGCAATTTTCGGACTTTTTTTTTTTTTTTTCCGGAGTACCTGCTCTCAGTGGCTGAGCAGAATTTGTTACATTTTTCCATTTTAAAATGGCATTAATGTCTGGGGTCATATTAGGAATTATTTCTGGTTTTTTGGAGCAGATCCTTGGTGAATATTTGTATGGAATATGCCTGACCAGGGGCTGGTCACAGCACGGTGTTGCAGTGAAAAGGGCAGTTATTCAATCACAAGCTACACGCTTTTGTTGGATCATTCATTTAAGTCCATTTACCTCCACAAAAAAAAAGCCGCAGAATGGTTTGGTTTTGGTTTTACTCTTCTGTGACCTCTGTTTCTGTCCATCGCCACCCCTCCAGCCCGCTCCTTGTGCTCACGGACTTTCATGTGTCTGATTTGGATTCATTGCCTGCAAAAACTTGAGGGATTTGACAAAACCAGAGAATTTAACCTGGCAACTACAGTCATCCACCCACAGAATCACAGAACTGTAGGGTTTGGAAGGGGCCTCTGGAGATCATCTCCTCCAACCCCCTGCCAGAGCAGGGTCACCCAGAGCAGGTCCCACAGGAACGTGTCCAGAAGGGCTTGAATGTCTCCAGAGAAGGAGACTCCACCACCTCTCTGGGCAGCCTCTGCCAGGGCTCTGCCACCCTCACAGCAAAGAAGTTCCTCCTCATGTTCAGATGGAGCTTCTTATGTTCCAGTTTGTGCCCGTTCCCTCTTGTCCTGTCCCTGGGCGCCACTGGAAAAAGCCTGGCCCCATCCTCCTGACACCCACCCTTTCAGTATTTATAGGCGTTGATCAGATCCCCCCTCAGTCTTCTCTCTGGTCGTGCTTCTGGTAAATTAATTTAGTGAGTATAATAACCATTATTATCAAATAATAGTAAATGTTTTACTAATGAGAACTGAAATATCCTGGTCTGCTTGGAATGCTTGTACTTGTAATAACTCAAATTAGCTTTGAAACTGTAAAACAGGAATGAGGATTTTGTGTCCGTCGCAGTACTTTCCGTGCCGTTCACTCCAACATCAACAACTCTCATTTGCATCTTAAGTCTTTGTTTTAGCTTTGTCTTTAGTGTCGCAAGACACAAGGTTTACATCTCAGCCCTTGAATGTACTTATTTTAGTAGATGAAGACCAAGAATAGAGACTTGTTTTAGGAAACAGTTTTATTTGTGAATCTTGGAGTTTGTTTAGAGGCTTAATGGGCCTCCATGTAAGTATTCCAACTGTTTAAACGCTGGTCTCTCTTAGCCATGATTTAGGACTGACTGATTCAGGTTCTTTTGCAGGTGTTGAAAGCAAAATTCTAGACTTTTCAGGAATTTTCATTTTAAATAAATGAATGTAGGTTTTTTTTCCTCCAAAGTTGTTTTTTTTTTAAATTGTTTAACAAACCAAAATTTAAATTTAGTATTTCAAGTCATAGTTGATTACAAAAATTTTTGTTTTCCTTTTTTTGGGGGTTTGATATGGCCTGAATTGTTCTTTTGCAAGGACTGCAGTGAAAATTCTCTTTACTTTCAAGAAATATAATCATCTTGAAAGCTGTTTGTACCACTGTAGATCAATCAGGCACGCTCTGCTTAGTTCCTGTGAATCTTTTATGCTTAAATTTGGGTGAAAATCTCCAAGTCCCATGCAGTAGTCAGCCAGGAAGAATTTACTTTCATTGAATTTAACTGCAGCCAGAAGATGTGAAGAATTATGTCTGTCAGTCTTAGCTTCGTGAGGCAAATTCATGCATGTCTTAACAAGACCTACTGGTTGTCATTTGAATTCTTACTTTTGTATTAATTTCTACCTATGAAGCAATTTCTGGGGATTTTAAATGCCCACGCCCCCCTGATATAGGTAATTTCAGTGTTTCTGTCTTGCATTAACAGAGAAAACCGAGGCGCAGACAAATAAATCTTTTGTCTCATGTCAACAAATTAACAAGGGAAATGCTCTGTAAACCCTTTTTGCATCCAGCTGAGTGAATCTTGTATTGATTATGATCATAATTATCCCAGCATTCTCGGCCGAATGAATAGCCATGTGAGGATCAGGGAGAAGCCGGGATGCAGAGTTCTGATGCCCCTCTGTATTAGTGAGATTAATGTTCTTTTGGGTCATTCTTTGGCATGTTCATGTGGTACTTTACTATGCCAGTGACTCGAACCAATTCACAGGCCATGTTCATGTGGTACTTTACTATGCCAGTGTTCACAGTAGTAAGGCTCAGCTCCACTCTATTTGCGGGTTTGATGTTAGAATCAGAATAATCTGTGTTGAAAGCCAGTCTGGAGGTCTTCTTGGCAACCCAACCCCAGTATTTGACCACCTTCATGGTTTATAACAAATGAACAAACAAATCAGAAAAACCCACCACTCTTTTCCTCTTTTCTGGACATGTTCAGCTTCTATCCGTTGCCTCTAATCCTTCCACTGGGCACCTCCAAGAAGAGTTGTCTTCTCTGCGCCCTCCCTCCAAGTAGCTGAAGAGATGGGCTTCACCCAACGGGTTTGATGGCCTTGCACTGGACTCACTCCAGCTGACAACGTCTTGTCTTGTACTGGAGAGCCCAAAACTGGACACAGGGCTCCAGATGTGGTCTCACCAGTGCTGAAAGGAGAGGAATTCCAGAGGTGCACCTCCCTTGCATCCTAGTACAGCAAGGGTGCAGTTTCACTGCAAAGAGGAATTGCTGAGCCATAGAACCATAGAATGGTTAGAGTTGGAAGGGACCAAATGAGGTGAATGAGGTGAACTTCACTAGTAGTAAACTAGAAGGGAGTCTCAAATGCTTGCCACTGTTTTAAATCTCACTTTCAAAATCAGTTGAGCGGTATCTTTCCAACAAATGGACACTGCCTGGTTAGAAACATCCCAAGACGACAGTGAATAGTGTGGTAGTAAATGATTGTTGGAGGACAGGGGATGTTGGTTGTGGTAATGTCGATGATTACAATTACTAGAAGGTAATTAGCTCAGATTTGTGCTTTGGCACAGTTTGCATTTCCAGAACTAGTCAGAAAAGCTTCCATAAGTCTCCTCTTCTTT